ATATAATAAATTCAGAGTGCTAAAACATTCTAGCATTGGTGTAAAAACAAACACTACTGAGATTGTATGTTTTTGAAAGAAGTCTCTTATACTCATTTTATTTAAACAAAAAAACAGTAATATTGTGAAATATTATTACAATTTAAAAGAACAGTTTTCTGTTTGAATATATTTTAAAATGTAATGTATTGCTGTGATGCAAAGCTAAATTTTCAGCATCATCATCATTACTCCAGTCTTCAGTGTCACATGATCCTTGAGAAATCATTCTAATATTCTGATTTTCTGCTCAAGAAACATTTCTTATTATTATCAATTTTGAAAACAGTTGTCCTGCTTAATATTTTTTCTGGAAATCAAAAGAACAGCATTTATTTGAAATCTTTGATAACATTATAAACGTCTTTAATGTAACTTTTGATCATTTTCAAGGGCAGGCTTTAAGATGGTTTAGATCCTACCTGTCCGATCGCTACCACTTTGTTCACTTAAATGGGGAGTCATCTCAATTATCACCAGTAAAATATGGAGTGCCACAAGGATCCGTCCTAGGTCCTCTGCTATTTTCAATATACATGTTACCCCTTTGGTAATATTATTAGAAAATAGTCTTCAGTGTCACATGATCCTTGAGAAATCATTCTAATATTCTGATTTTCTGCTCAAGAAACATTTCTTATTATTATCAATTTTGAAAACAGTTGTCCTGCTTAATATTTTTGCTGGAAACCAAAAGAACAGCATTTATTTGAAATCTTTGATAACATTATAAACGTCTTTAATGTAACTTTTGATCATTTTCAAGGGCAGGCTTTAAGATGGTTTAGATCCTACCTGTCCGATCGCTACCACTTTGTTCACTTAAATGGGGAGTCATCTCAATTATCACCAGTAAAGTATGGAGTGCCACAAGGATCCGTCCTAGGTCCTCTGCTATTTTAAATATACATGTTACTATATATCTCAACAAGACCAGATGAAACTTCTAAATTATCTAAGCTAACAGAGTGTATTAAAAATTTAAAAGATTGGATGACCAATAATTTTCTCCTATTGAATTCAGATAAGACAGAGATATTACTTATTGGACCAAAAAGCAGCAACTAGGCGGAAGTATTGTTACTTCCTCAACGGTCAAAAATCTGGGTGTTATATTAGACAGCAACTTGTCTTTTGAAAATCATATTTCCCATGTTACAAAAACAGCATTCTTCCATCTTAGAAACATTGCCAAGCTACGAAACATGTTACCTGTTTCTGATGCAGAAAAGCTAGTTCATGCATTCATGACCTCTAGACTGGACTATTGTAATGCACTGCTAGGTGGTTGTCCTGCATCTTCAATAAACAAGCTACAGGTAGTCCAAAATGCAGCGTCAAGAGTCCTTACCAGGTCAAGAAAATAAGATCATATTACTCCAATTTTACAGTCTCTGCACTGGCTACCTACTAAGTTCTGTATCAGTTACAAAATATCATTACTTACCTACAAGGCCCTTAATGGGTTAGCTCCTGCGTACCTAACTAGTCTTCTACCACATTTCTGCCATATGTACATCAATTTGACATAGTCACCACTGATAAGCTACAACTAAATATATTGTAGAAACTTAATTTTCTGTAAAGCTGCTTTGCAATGATTTGTATTGTGAAAAGCGCTATACAAATAAACTTGAATTGAATTGAATTGAATAATTTTAATGCATCCTTGCTAAATAAGAGTATTCATTTCTTTCAAAAACAATCTTACTGACCTCAAACTTTTAGTACCTACATAAACAACCAGACTTCTCTAAGGTAAATAGAATTAAAAATAAATAAATGTGGTGCTACTTCTTTTTAGTTTTCAAGATTGGCTAAACACACTGTTTTTATACCATTATACTCATTTTTATTCAGTTCCTATGTTTTAAAATAAGTTAAAATCGGTCATAGGCATAGATTTTGTCAATACTGAAATGAGTGACAATCGATCGTCTGTCTTTCTACAAACAGTGCTTTTATACATAAAGTATACTCAGTTCGCAAACACACATCGACCCCTATATAAACAACTACACGTCAGTGAAGGGCAAAATACACCAATGCACATTCAATGCATAAGCCCTGAAGACAAACAAAATCCAGGCACAAATTTCTAGGCACACACACAAGCACACTATCTAGTGACCCGTGAAGGCCCGGCACTGCAGGCAACAACGTCCGACAGTATATGCAGTAATATCCTCATTAGTTTATATTCAGACACTGTGACTATATCCACACTTTATATTACACTCCTATATTCAGCCTGTTGTCATTGTAATGTCCTGACATTTCTAATGGAAATCGTGGATCATGTTATGGAATAGCAACTTCTTTATTCAGTGCACTCGTTCACAGGACCGCAGGAGGGAAAACTGATGGAATTTAGATCAGATCGGGTGTTCTGCTGATGCAACCTGGAGCACTAATATATGTAGACAGGTCGTTGGGAGAATGCATGTGTGTGTATGAGGGTCTTTAATAAGTGATCTGATGGCAGTGGACAGAGCGCCTGTGGGAGCCATACTCTTCACACCTCCTACTGTTATCAGCTCACCCTTACCTTATATAACACACACTCACATGCCAACACAAGCCTCACAAAAAAAAGTAAAGTCCACTGACAGACCCTCTCTCCTTCAGTGTCTGCAGTCATCTGTTATCAGATATGTGACACGCATACGCACAAAAACTGCATGGTTCATACAGAGGTACAGTGGCTCCTAAGGGCTGTGTGAGTATCAATGTTGACCTAACTTAATTTGGTCAACTTTAAAGGCGATTTTCTCAATATTTAGATATTTTTGCACCCTCAGATTCCAGATTTTCAAATGTTGTTTTTTAGGCAAATACTGTCCTAACCAGTGTTGGGGGTAACGCATTACAAGTAACGCGAGTTACATAATCAGATTACTTTTAATTTACAAGAGAATATCTGAGTTACTTTTTCAAATAAGTAACGCAAGTTACTTTTTTTTTCCAATTTATTGATTGACAGCTCTCCTGTCCCCATGTTGAGAGAAATCAGAAGATGTTACTGTAGTTCTAAAATAAATATGAATATGCATTAATTCATTTTGATATAAAAAGAATGAATACATTATATATGAAAATATATAGTATTTTTTATTTAATTGTAATCTTTTTTATTAATTAATAAATAATTTAAACTAATAGTCTGCTGAAGCAAACATATGTTGCTTGTTTCTAACTTTTACCTCAGCGAAAGATTTACCATTAGAGTTTAATCTAGAATGCCAAAAGTGTTTTCTCTCCACAACTCCACATGTCAAAAAATATGATGAATGTCCCTCACATTAAGGTAC